TCTGGGCAGGGAAAGCAGGAGTATAATAGAAATACTAATCAAAGTTCACAGGAAGTTCACACTGCTTTTTCTTTTTAAAAAAATGTTATATTTGATACATACAAAAGAATATATTGGCATATAAATTTAAAAGTATAAAATCATAAAACTTACCTATCAAATTAAAAACATTACCAATGTTCATGATCTACCTATTCCATCTTCCTGTCTTACCAAAAAAGGTAACCACTATCACAGATTTTAAGGATATTATTATGTGTCTTTAAAGAAAAAGTTTTATCAGTTATTTATGTTATTCTTAACCAATATGTTGCTTGATTTACATACTTGATTTTGAGCTTTATTTTTGAAATGGTACAACATAGATAGACAGCTACTTGTTTTTCCTCAACAGTTTAATTATTCTCTAAAATTTATAAATGTTACTGTATGCAATTATATTCATTTGTTTTTTGCCACTGTATAACATTCCATTATCACAATATTTCAAAACTTTTCTATTCATTTTGAAAATATCTGGGTTATTTCAAGGCTTGTATCTTTTCATTTAATTTTTTTATTTCATAATTGAGATTTTATTCAATTAGTACATAGCCATTATGGATAATTTGTAAATAAGAACTAATGTAAGTTTTCTAAAGTATTATTCCATTCTTTTCTAAACAGTAATTCTAGTGACTTTCCAACTTAAAGCTAGAGGCAAAGTTTCCTTAAGAAAATATATCAGGCACTAGTAACTTCAAATATTGATAACTGTTAGGTTTAAAGCCCCACTAATTAATAATTTAGTATCATAATGCTATACTTCAAAATTTCCAAACTTTAACAAAACTTCAACAATTCTGATATATAGAGAGCCAAAATTAGACAGCAGTTGTCTTTAGGAGCAATTCTATTTTTTTAAAGCAAGAACATGGAGATAGGCATTAAGTAATTTAAAATATTAAGATATATTAGTGGATAATTGTGACTCCTAATGGCCATTTTGTTAAATTCATAAGATACAAAAACTGCCCCCCTAGCGGCCAATACAGTTAACACCCAAGACAGTCAAATCCTCTCTTATATTGACATCTTCACATTTTAGATTGTACAGAAAAATTACAAGCACATCATTTCTTTTTTTAAAGAAAGTACATACAGCAGGTGTGCACGTGCACACACGCACACTTGCATGCGCACACACACAACTTTCTTCTAAAATATGTTTTTAGAACTATTTTTAAAATCTTTTTTTTTACAACATAGGTAATAAAAATATTTATCCAGACTATAATAAAGAAGATACAGGAACCATAAGACTTGGTAACTATATTAATCAGATTTCATTTTTTTTTCTCTCTTTAATTAGAGACTATACCCTCCTCAGTTTTAGTTTCTCTACTTTCTGCAGGAGAGTTGGCTTTAGTTTCTTAGATGGCCATTTCAGCCTATTTGCCTTTTGCTCCCCATTTTCCTTTGCAATTTTTTGGCTGAAGATTTATCCTTTCTTCCTCCCTTTCTGGCTTAGTTTCAATTTTTGTAGGAAGTGGTTAGGAACCTTGCCAAACTATTCAAGAGCTCCTCCTTAACTCTCCCTTAGCTAAAGTGATCATCATCTTGAGTTTCCTGGTAGTGGTTTGTGGTGGGGAGCATAGATGCACTGTGTGACCTTTCACAAAGCCAGGTTGCATGGTTGCTGTATCTAAGTACCTCAGATAAGCCCAATTTATATACTCTTCATGTATAGTATTTTAAAATATAAACCACAAAATAGATAATCATTATTAATAAAGCTAATGACTGTTTAGTGCTGTGGTTTCAATGGTGTCTCCAAAACCCATGTTGAAAATCCCCAATGTGGCAGTATTGAGAGATGGGGCCTGCACTCATGAAAAAATGTATCCATTAACAGATTAATGAGTTATTATGGGAAGGGATATGGTGGCTTTATAATAAATGAGAGATCTAAGCTAGCACATTATCATGCTTAGTCCTCTTGCCACATGATACCTGTACTGCCTTGGAACTCTGAACTCTGAACTCTGTAGAGTCCCCACTGGAAAGAAGGCTTTCACCACATGCAGCCCCTCAACCTTGGACTTCCCAGCCTCCAGAATGGTAAGAAATAAATCCCTTTTCTTTATAAATTACCCATTTTTAGGTATTGTTACAAACAAAAGAAACTGGACTCAGACATTTAGATTTATCTAAATGCTTATCCTTTTTAATCATCCTCACTTCTTGTATGTGAGACCTTCCTATTAGGTCTTGTTCCTTCCTCCTGAGATAATCCATTGCTGGCATGGACTTTTTCCATTTTTAAAATCTGTGAATGTTTTTATTCCAGTTTTTAACAGATCACTCTTCTGGGTACACAATTTTAGGTAGGAAGTTATTTTCCTTCAGTAATTTCATTACTGTTGCCTTCTAGCTTCCACTGTTGCTCTTAAGAAATGGCTGTTAGCTAACTGATTCTTTTGTACATGATGTCTTTTCTCTCTGGCTGCTTTTATGATCTTCTCCTTGTCCTAAGTTAATTGTAATTTAATATTGCTTCTCCTCCTTTCTATCTATTCATTCCTTCTGAGGTTATAAGATCTTCTCATTCTGTTCACCATATATCTTAACTTCTTCTTATATTTGTTAATCTCCTGTCTCATTGCTGCATGCAGTAAGTCCTCATTTAACATCATTAACAGGTTCTTGGAAACTGCAACTTTAAGAAAAATGATGTACTGTATAATTAAACCAATTTTACTGTAGGCTAATTGATATAAACAAAAGTACCTGTAGCATATAGTACATCATTTCACTTAAAGATGCAGTTTCTAAGAACCCATCCATGACATTGAGGAATTACTGTACTAGGCAGTTTCTTCAGTTTTCCTTTCTACTTCAATAGTTTTATCTTTAACTGTATTTAATCTGCTGTTTAACCTAGCCATTGAGCTTTTTAAAGTGTTTTAGTGTTAAATTTAATAAATATACAAAAAAGAACATAAATATATAATTATATAGCAAATATACATGTACCATATTCCAAGTCAACAACACAAGTACCATAGAAATCTGTGTGCTCCTTCTTAAGTATACCTTTCTTCATCTTTCTAGAAATAAACATTTGCTAGACTTTTATGATAATTGTTTTATATTTTTGCCACCTATATATAAAAATTTAAACAATAGTTTGAACAAATTGTATTGATAGATTCTTTTGTGTCTTAGCTCTTTTGTGTCCTTGTGTTTTATTTAAGACTGACTAAAATTCTTGCTTGTAGTTCTGGTTTATTCATTTTCATTCCTGCATAGTCATATTTTAAGTACTCACTAGTCACAATTGTCTAGTGACTACCATATTGAAAAGTGCTGCTCCAATCAAAGGTTGGGGCAAAAGTAATTGTTTTGTTTTGTTTTTTGTGGGGTTTTTTTGCCATTTAAAAGTAATGGCCAAAATCACAATTACTTTTGCACCAACCTATATATGTAAATAGGAGGTGAATTGCAGGGTCATAGGAAATGCATATATTTGACTTGAAAGGATAATGCCAAAATGTTATTCAAAGGGATTGTACCCATTTACATTCCCACCAGCAATTTATGAGATCTTATCCATGGAATTTTAACCTCAACATTTCTATTTTTTAAATGTTTACTAGTTTCTTATGAAAGATATAAATGAACAATTTGATAAAAAGGCACACAGGGGGAAATCTAGAAGGGTCCTGAGTGCAGGAGCTTCTGTCCCCATGGAGTTGGGGTAGGCATTCTACTGGCACAGAGATGTGTTCACCAATTTGGAAGCTTCCCAACATTTCTATTTTTAAATTCTAAAATATCTCTTTAGGTTCTTTTTCAAGTCAGTCTTGTCATATTGTTACTCTCTTGGTACTTGCTCATTTCTGTGATTTCATCTTTTATATCTAAATTTTATACAGATTTGTTTTATACTGTAAATCTCTTATAATTCCAATATCTGAAATCATTAGACTCTTAATCTGTTTGTTGTTCTGCTGACTCTTACTTGTGGTTGCTTATTTATGTCTTTGGTGATTTTTTTAATAGTCTTCAATTTTTAATAATTAATTTCTAATAGTAAATATTTTACATATTTATTTGATCTGAGAGTAATAGTCCACCAAATGTCCTATTAACTTCTTATATTCTACTGTGGTCTCTTGGGGGTTGTAAGAGGATAAAAATCATGCGTATGGGATTGGAGTTGGCAAATGTTAAAATAATTATTCATCCTCGTTTGCATAGCAGTGAGCAAAAAATAAAATAAAAAGGGCAATAATTATTCATTATGCTTTTTTATTTCTCCAAATTTCCTACCATAAACACATAATGCTTTTAAAACTATGAAATAATAAAATAATCATGGAACCGGAATATTTGTCAAACACAAAATCAATTAGCAAAATTTTATTTGCATTATGAAATAGGATTTTAGGTCAGTTCCTAAGAGGCTAGTTATTCAAAATTAAGGTGTCCCCTTCTCTATGCTTTCCTATTCCACACTGTGGATAACTCTACCAATGCAGAGGCTTAAGAGGAAATGATATCTCGAGACGACTTTTAACATATTGCTTCTGATAGAAGCTAGGGATTTCTACCCATCTGGGAGCACCTTAGCCCCGGTCCAGAATCCCTGGCTCAATGCTGGAATCCTGTCATCATTAGATATAACCATGTCTTGTTATTAAAATGTATATAGAGACATGACTTATGGGTAAGCATATTTAGGTATAGCATTTATACCTAAGGAAAGAAGCCCAAAATGCAGAGAAAATAGCAGAGTAAGGAGCACAGAATAAAAAAGAAAAAACTGTAACTGGGAGTTAATTACAAGGGTTGGAGATAAAAACAGACCTTCAGGCCTATTGTTGGTTACTGGGATAATTTCCCACTATGGCTATTCTCTGGGATCATAGCCTTTACTTAGCCAAGCGTAAGACACAAGCAAGAATTTCCAGGCAGCTGTTTTCTCCGAGTGCTCGATCCTAGAGATTAGTACTGACCTAGAATTTAAGGTCCATCTTTGTCAACCCTCCCAGAACATCAGAACTCTTCCATGGTTTTTGGCATCCTTTGGGGAATAATGGTCAAGTTACACAGTTTGAAATTAGAGGGAAAAAAAAAAGGAAGAGGCGGGGGAAGGCAGGAGCAGACAGAACTGTATCAAACAGATGAGCAAATTTTTTGTTAATATTTCAGCGTTTGGGACAGCACTTGGGCCTGTGATTCCTCTGAAAGACTTTTCTGGAGGGTAAGGTTTTCCTTTGGAAAGGGTTGTTACCGCCTTTTATTCACTTATTTTAAAGGAAGACAATTCGATAACAAACTATTTCCGTGGGTGATTTGTAGAGGTCAGTGCTGTTTACTGAAGACGTTTAAAACGTCACAGACAGCAGCCAACGCCCTTCCCAATACCTGGTATTCACTGAGGATTTCCTTCATCCTGCGGTTTGGCGTGGGTTTTGGAGGAGGAGTTTCAGAAAACGGTCAACATCAGCACAGTTAGGCCTTTATAAACAGGCTATCCAGAGTTCGACTCCTCCTCCTGCATGGCTAGTCTTGAGAGCCTCTTCCCGGGAAACACCCGGGTAGAAACACCATCCAAGGGGAGTGAGCCACAGAATCACCTAGGGGCGGGAGCGCCGGCGGCCCGCCAGCCGGTAACGCGCAGGCGCAGATAGGGGCGCGGAGAAGGGGTAGGTATGCCTGGCTTGCCGCAGGCCTGGCAACCTGCTTCGCCAGCCCAGAAGGAGCGACTCGTTGGCCGGGAAATTGGACTCCGGGTTTTCTGTCTCACTCCACGCGCACAAATTGGACCCCAAGACACCTCACTCCTTTGCCACTTACCCACCCATTGTGGGACATACTCAGCACACCCATCTGACGGCTGCTCTTTTGCTCTGCCTGGCATTCTTTTCTGAGCTCTGCTTTCTGAGGAAGGCCTACTCCCCCAACCCTTCCCCACTGCGGTTAATATCTTACAAACTTGACAGTGGAACTGGGGCCAAAGTGACCATTAATTTGCCGGGTAGGGTGGGAATCAGAATCCCGGTTTATCCGCTTCATAGATGTGTAATCTTGTCAGGTTATTTAAACTTTCTAAGCTACTTTTTGAAACGTAAACACACATTGTAGAATGTTAATTTAGCAACCTCAAATCAGTCGTGTTTTCGTTATTTCCACTGCCTTAAGTCATAAAAGGGCTTCCTTACCTACACCCAGCCAATTGCAATGGCAATTCAGTTAGCAATTTTGGGTAGTATCTTCCCATACAATTCATCATATTCACCTCTGCCAGATTAAATTTCTTAAAAATAAGCTTAGTCATGACTTCCCATTCCCATCTCCAATTGATAATTATTATAAAATGACTCATGCTGTCTTCCCAGCCTACTATTCTACACATATTCCTTGCTGACTGTACCCATCTCCTGCACTTTCTGGCATTCATATCTTCACTTGTGGCCCTTTCTCCACTACACAGTTCCCCTTTCCACATTTCTGTTAAAATCCTACCCATCCTGCATGGCCAACTTAAATGCCATCTTCTTCAGGAAGCCGCTCCTGATTTTCCCAGTGTCCTCATTCTCTCTTCCAGACCTAAGCCTTTTATTATGATACCTGACATATCCTGTATCGCAGTTGTGTACCTGTTATCCTTTCTACTTATCTTTTCCAATTATACATTTTAGGGTCCTTGAGGGAAAGAACCACGACTTTTTCATCTCTGTATCCCCATAAGTGCTTTCCAAAATATGAACTAAAAATAAGGGGAGGATTTAGAAAGCTTCTGATCATTTTCATTTTGATTGAAACATTCAAAGAAAAATTTGAGAGTGCGATGTTGAAATTGGTAGCTACAAATTAATTGTAAATGGAGAGCAAGGGGAAGGAAACTCATTTCTTAAACCCCTACTCAGTGCCTGCAATGTGACAGGTGCTTTCACTTATGTTTGCTCACTTCTTCACAATTCTGTGAGGTATCATACCATTTACAGATGAGAAAACTGAGGCTCAATAGACTGACTTTGCTAACGTATCACAGCTTTGAGCGGCAAACCTAACATTTTGAACTCCCTTCTGTAAGTCTTACTTACTGAAAAAAGTAGAGGAATTAGTATTCCTACAAGGTGCTTTTCAAGAATCAAAGGGTTGTTACCCCCTTTTATTTTAAAGGAAGACAATTGGATAACTATTTCAGTGGGTGGTTTGTAGCGGTACTCTTTACTGACGACGTTTAAAACATCACAGACAGCAGCCAACGCCCTTCCCAATACCTGATATTCACTGAGGATTTCCTTCATCCTCCGGTTTGGCGTGAATAAATGCCCTTCCTTAAAGTATGTTAAAGATAAGGTATTAATTATGGGGAATACGACATAATAGATAAAACAGATATACCATTTCTATCATTTAAGTACAACAGTACCTTGAATAAGGCATCCAGTGGACTAGAGATCAGCAGGCATTTTAATCTTAATATTTTACACTGAGGTGTTTTGTTTTTTTTTTTTTTTTTGTATTTTGTTTTTGTTTTTTGAGACCGTCTCTCTATCCCATGCAGGAGTGCAGTGGTGTGATATCAGCACACTGCAACCTCAGTCTCCCAGTAGCTGGGTTAATTATTGCCTTTTTTCTAGAGACGGGGTTTCGCCTTGTTGGCCAGGCTGGTCTCCAGCTCCTGGTCTCAGGTGACCCACCTGCCTTGGCCTCCCAAAGTGCTGGGATTACAGGGATGAGTCACAGTGCTGAGTTTGATGTGCTTTTTAAAAATGACAACTCCAGGCCGGGCACGGTGGCTCAAGCCTGTAATCCCAGCACTTTGGGAGGCCGAGATGGGCGGATCACGAGGTCAGGAGATCGAGACCAGCCTGGCTAACACGGTGAAACCCCGTCTCTACTAAAAATACAAAAAACTAGCCGGGCGAGGTGGCGGGCGCCTGTAGTCCCAGCTATTTGGGAGGCTGAGGCAGGAGAATGGCGTAAACCTGGGAGGCAGAGCTTGTAGTGAGCTGAGATCCGGCCACTGCACTCCAGCCTGGGTGACAGAGCGAGACTCTGTCTCAAAAAAAAAATAAAAATGACAACTCCAATTTTGTAGGCTGCATCTAAAAATACAGTAAGAATAAGGCTGGGGAAGGTGACTCATGCCTGTAATCCCAATAATTTGGGAGGCGAAGGTGGGAGGATCACTTGAGGTCGGGAGTTCAAGACCAGCCTGGGCAACATAGTGAGACCCCATCTCTACAAAGTAACAATTCACTGGGTGTGTTGGTACCTGCCTGTGATTTCCGGCTACTTGGGAGGCTGAGGCAGGAAGACTGCTTGAGCCCAGGAGTTCAGGGCTGCAGTGAACTGTGGTTGCGCCACTGCACTCCAGCCTGGGAACTCTGGCTCTTTAAAATAAAAATTTAAAAAGATGAGCATTTAACTACTGTATTGGCAGGTGACTATGATGAGTCCATCACATACCATTTATATAATTCAATGTTCACATGACACAAGAATCTGTTTTGCAACAAAAGACAAAAATAAGACATGGTCCTTGCTCTGAAGGCTTCCAATCTGAAAGGTAGTAAGACACAGGCAATGAAACTATAGGGCTATAAAACTATATTTAAAAAAAATTTTGCATGAAAATTTTCCAGGACTTTGGTGATAAGCAGTGAAATCAATGCCTTAAGTAGGTTTTGAAATGGTATATTAAAAAATGGTACTCATTTGGATACTGTAAGAAAATACTGATTTGGTTTCTGGGATATAATGGACAAATGATTCTCAACTCATGGCAAGAAGATTCCTCCCTGGGTATTAGAATAATCTGAGGTGGAACAAAGAGGCTATAAAGTTTCAGAACAAGGTGGTACTTTCTGCTCTTGCTTTAATTTCCTTTATTTTAAAAATTCAGTTAACATCAAAGAGAGTGTCTTTTTTTTTTTTTTAAGGAAGAATGCTTTAAAAAGAGATAAGAGCGGTGCCAACATGAAGACCAAAAAAATAAACAGTGCAATGTGGTGCCAAAAGAAAAGGGGGAAAACATCTGAAATAAGGCGGAAGAGTCAAAGGTAAAAATCACAAAGGAATGGAATAATTAACAAGATAACAAAAGGTTAACTAGGCAAGTTAGACGAGGGGAAGACTTAATATGAAATTTGTCCTAGGATAAATTATTAAAATATTTAAAGATATAATCTAAAGCTCCTACTGAAATAGAAGATAAATTTAAAATAATTTTGATTAGAAAGAGAAAATATACTGTAAAATATTTATTTAATAAAAATAATTTTATAATCTATACAGAATTGAATAAAAAGTACAACAAATTATTTTCACTTATTTGCAAAACTGCATACAGTACAACTTGCACACTGGGTTCAGCATTCTACAAATATGGCCACATACCAAGATGTGAACATATTCTTGTCTCATATAAGAAAAGGCTCAGGTTGTATGCCACAAACTGAATTAAATTCCAGGGAAATATTGCTTTGGTAATGTGAACAATTTGTACCACATTCCATTAAAAAAATATTTAATAAAATCCCTCAAACAGCACTTTTCTACTTGTTTTGGAGTACACAATTCCCAAATTAGCACAAACAAAACAAAGCAAAAACAAAAAACAAAATATAAAATGGAGGTTGCTACTTTTACGATACCACTTCCCTTTCCCTTCCTTAGCTAGTGTTCTTTTCCTTTCCCTTAATTGTAAAGGACAGTGAATAGAAAATGACCTATTCTTATCCTCATCCATCTGCTTCTAGGATTCCTGCTTAAACCAAATAAGTACGTCAATTTTGCAATCTTGACACACTATTATTAACATTGTTCAGCTGTGTCATTCTAAAAAAAGTTAATATCCCAGTTAAAAGCACCTATCTAGATTCTTTTCAAGATAAGGCAACAAAGTCAGCTTTAAAATAGTTTTCATGTCTGACATATACTAGCAGCCCCTTGGTAGACTGATTTCAGAATTAAATGCATATAGAACATTTTTTTCAAGTAACTTGGTAATGAAATCACTAGCAATTTTAAGCAAATATTCAAGATGATCTACCTTTAGAAACAAAGACAGATTTAAGGTAAAAAAAAATGCAGGAATCACATCTATCCTAGTTCCTGTCCCATTGAAATAATTTAAAAGAGGCTCAGTTTATGAAAAAGGCCTTGGACTAATGCAATTCCTATTGACATCTTTATTTGGATAAGAAAAACAAATTAATATAAAAACTATATATAGGGATGAAATTATTCAAAAAAGATTTCTCATTTTATTTTGGAAATAAAAGGGAATGCAAATACAAATGGGCTAGTTATATCTGTAGCCCATATATGAACTTTTAATCTTGGAATTAATAGTCCTTCATATTGAAGATTTAAAGACAAGCAAACCTACCTTAAGCTTTCTTAAATCTCTTCATTTAGACAGGCTTCAAAACTTGCCTTATTTTCTAAAAATGAGCTTCTCTGGGAAGCATATGAATAATGCAAAAATGTACTTCTAAACAAATTTTACACAAATACATAATTGTCACGATGGGAACCAAGAACATTCATACGATGAATTTTTTAAAAATAACTTAAAATTAGAAATGATACATACACCTTAAAATACAGAACATTAAATCAGAACAAATATTGCCAGTGATAAAATAACTATGTAGAAAGACCAATGCACATGAGTAACACAGAAATAAGAATTAAATTGAATACAGGCAGATGCTGTTAGAACATATTTCCATCCATCATGACTTGTAACATTTTGTGGCCTCTGTGAAGCCCTGCTCCCACCAGGCCAAGCACCTGGCTAAGTAGATACA